TACGTATGAGTAATGGAGTATTTAGCATGAGTAATGTATCATTAAATTTATTTCTTATTTATTCAATTAATCATTTTTAAATTTGAGTTGTATTTCTTTTTAAAATACAGATAAAGCAGTGGTTATTTTCATTCAAAACCATAAACAGGTGAACTGCAAAACCGGGAAATTAGTATGATCGTTATTTGTTTCATCAATGCTTGAATGTTAGTTGACTAAACTGTCCTTATATAATTATATCTACAGTTAAACCCAAGTTCTATATTTTTCGTCATGTGTAGCATATTAATTTCTAAAGAGGGTGGGTATTCGAGAGAGAGAGAAAGAGAGAGAGAAAGGAAAGAGTAGTCAATGGTCGAGACGACGAGTGATAATTCATAAGAAAGAGAAAGGGAAAGAGCATGTATGAGGGGGAAAAGTTACAGACAGAATAAATCTTATTCTGAGAACGAATAGAGAAAGATAGAGAGAGGAGGAAGAGATAATCTAAAAAACCAGCAGTGGCGGATCAAGGCCCCCCCCCCCCCTGGGAAAGAAAACGTGTAAAAACACGTTAATGATACCTTTTAATGGAGATGCCCCCCCCCCCTCCCTGGCGCTCAAGGGGTAGGGTTCGATTTTTCAAATTTTCGAGAAAAAAAATTAGTGCTCACTAAACGTGCTAAGAAACATGGCAAGAGATCTTACAGCATAATTATGGTCACCTTACTGAGATGACATCGTGCTGTTCATACAGTGTGAGATAACATGGCACACTTAGAAACATGGTGAAAGATCTTATAGCGTAACTATGTACACCTAACTGAGATGACATTATGCTGTCCATACAGTGTGAGATAACATGAGCTGCTAAGAAACATGACAAGAGATCTTACAGCGTATGGACAGCAAAATGTGATCAAAGTGTAACCTAGTTAGGATCAATATTAACGAATTCTTCGCCAGCTTGCACTCCATTTAGAGATTTCTTTCATCACCTCAATAACGGTTAAACAAATATAATCAGTAGTTTTGTTATGCTCAGAAAATGTGCTATTCTTGTGACTTAATTTGGATAGGCCAGTAATAACAAAAGGATACCTCATTTTACAGATTTCAATATTACATAAGACATGTATGATCTAGATCTTGCACAAATATATCCAGTAGGCTATAATGTCAACAATACCGTGTATATACGTAGAGAAAAATGAACATGCATGTAATGTAATATATATATAATGTGATATATAGGCTACATTTACAGCGTATAAACATACTTTCTATAACTATTTTCTAAGTTACGAAAAAAAAAAGAGAAAAATTAAAAATACGTTAAAGGGCAATCCAACACTTGCAATAAGTTTCTTTGTATTAAAACATGTTTTCAATTTGAGATCACGTAATGTGTATCTCAAATTGACAGATTGGTCAGTGAATTATTGTGACGTAGTGATCAACTAACAACTTACTCTCCTGTCTGTCGTGTAAAAAGAATATCATTATATTTCGCCTTCTCCCTTGAGGCACTACTCAAAATATATTATGGGTGTCACATTGTATAGGTCCCGAGTCATGATCTTTTGAAGAAAAAAAGAAGACATTTTAGTCAGTTTGTGTGTTGGAACAATGGAAAAATTGTCCGCCACTACATCACAGAGACATTACCGATTCAGCCAATTTGAAGGGCCAATATAGAGAGATTACAACTTTCAAAATTCATAGGTTTCTCATTTTTTTTACGATTTCATTCAAACTTTCCCCAGTCTACGTTTCAGATTGTTCTCCTTTTCTCTAGAGTGTTTTGATATCAAGGTTGGATTTCCCTTTAAAGGCACACTGTCCTACTTGTAGCTACTTGCTCCCTCTATATAGAAAACTTCCCCAATCGGTGCCTGTTGGTCCCCCATGATCCTCTTTTTCTTATGTTAAATGAGAGCCGAGTTAATGAGAAAGCCACCTGTCACAGTGACCTCGCTGGCTCGCTGGGTGGTCTTATCCCTTCTGGCTGAAGTAGTAAAGCCTGCCTTTAAAGGTACTTAACTAAACGTTGTACAAAACAGTGCAGGGCCAGTAGTCTGTCCCGAAATAGTCGTCCCATTTTCCCATAAGAATTGACCGAACAAAGTTACTTAGACCATCAATGCCATCTACGTTTTTTCCTTCATCCTGAACATATTGTCCTATGGGTTTGGGCCCCGTAAAGAGAATGCAAGTCGATCACATTGGGTCACACATGCACCAAACTCTGTCGAGAAGAAGTTGTAGGTACATTATCTAGAGTTCTAGACACAACCAAAACTTCACAGCTGAAGAAAAAATGAATCTAAGGTCGGGATTGGTTTTATATAGATGGCGACTTATTCAGGCTTTCAGTATTATTATGTTGGAGATTCACTTTATTAGCATCTTGGATAATAGAGCGAGACATTTTATTTGCTTTCATTTCTATGGTATATTTGGAAGAGTAAAAGACGGCAACTACAAATTAATTAATTAATTCCTTAATTGAAATGCTAGTGCGCCGCAGTGGCTGCCTTGCTAAAGCCAGGGTAATAATCGGGGCAGCGCCAGGAGCGTCACAACGTGACGGACATGTGCGCTATATAAGAAGCCACCATTATTATTATTATTATTATTACACTACAACTACATCCCCCTCTTTCTCCACTGAATCCAATGACCGAGGTAATAGTATAAAGCGCTTAGAGACATTTGTATTAAGCGCTATATAAAAATTAAATATTATTATTATTATTATTATTATTATTCCTATCTCCGTCCATTTCTCTCTTTCCACTTTGTCTTTTTCTATCAAACATCAAAGAACTCATCCAGTGTCAATCAACAATACCGTTTGCATACAACAAAATATTTACATGAAATATTGTGTGTATATATATATAAGTGAAATCACTAACTATAACAGAATTGCATTAAACGTTTACAAAGATATCATCATATTTTTACATTCCTTATATTAGGACGTTTTGTCTGGAAACAGAACTCGCGACTGGTAAACTAGGCCTAATTTGTGGTAATACATGTACATTGCTCTTCTCTACACCATAGCAAACTAATCTGTCGTACTATCAGTTCCCAGAGCACTCATTTTAATGGCTTTTAAGACAGAGTGCAAGTTGAATACGTAGGAATTTTTAATGGAATGTCACACCATAGTCCACTAAGGATTTATTAAAAAAAATTGATTTGATGTATTAAGCAAGTTTAATGTAACATCCATGCGAAGAGTAAAATGATATTGTAAAATGAAAACAAGATAATAATACCAATAACTTCACAGGATAAACCGTGAGAGCTGAAAAGCTCATTTACAATGTGGTCCTTCATTTTAAAAAAATACAAAATAATCGATATAAAAGTTAGGAAATATAAGCACATACATTAACAAAACACACTTTGAGAATAACAACATCATGGAAATAACACTAATGAGTTAATTAATATCTTACCAATTTCAAGTTATACATTATGGTATAATATCACCCCTTTTCAGTAAATATCTAAGAGAAACGATTACATAAATCATGAAGTAGATGCATACTATTTCGATAGAGGGCGTTATTATTATACTGGATAATGTCAACTGTATACCGGTAATTAAAATCTATCGAGAGAATGGGCACCTTCTCATTCGGTTTAAATAGTTATCACATAATAAACAATATAATATGAAATATAGGCCCGTATTAAAGAAGAACTGGAGCAGAGAGGCATACACTACAAACAATGGTAATATAGAGTGTGAGATGGATTACAGTGATACTTTGATAAAATACAACTTCTTGTCACAAGCAAACGCGAGCACGTCTGGTGAGAGAGAAACCAAATAACACCAACTATAACCAGTCGACAGATTAAGTCCTTGCATTTGAACACAACTCTCTCCTTGAGGTTCAGACCATCAAGGTCATAGAGCCTAATCACCGTCGCCCTAATCTCACGATCATAACTTGCTACATACACCCTGTCCTGCTCATCCACGGCAGCACAGGCATGGTGGTGAGCCTTTAGGGACTTACCAGCATTCCCATCCCTGTCATAGACCGTCACCACGCTTGGATTGGTTAAATCACATGAACTCGTGACGAGCAAACCCGACCTGGTGCCAGATACCTGGCTGGTCTCGTTGTGTTTTGTTGGAACAGTGTGTTTGAGAGTGGATCCCGTCGGGTCTAAGATATAGACTTTCTTCTCACTGTTCGCGATGAGGATTTCATCTGCTGAACTTCTGTTTAGTTTGAGATTAAGTTCGTTGCCTTTTACGTGTATGGTTGATTTCCTGGATCTATCAGGAGCATATATGTGTGCTTTATTGTTACCATTCGATATGAATACCGACCCGTCCTGTTGGAACACAAGATCAACGCACTTCATGTTACGTGTTATGTTTTCATACTGCTCCTGATAACCAGTTGAATCGATGATATCTATACCACGTGCATCCATATTATACCCGATAGCTACACTGTCCTTAGAGTACGGGGTCATACCAGACATCCGTCCCCGAAGATTTACAGACTCCATTAATTGCAACTTGGGATCTGATTCTGAGATGCTCCCGATTTCAAGACAAGTAACATCTGCAGGCTTTAACCTCTTCTCTTGTGCTGTCTTCCTAATGGGTGCAGCAGAAGTGTTGTCAGTAGCTGATTCGGAGATGCACCCAAGTTCAATACGAGTATCACCTTCAAGCTTGAACGTCTTCTCCTGTGCTGTCTTGCTAATGGCTGCAGCAGGAGTGTGATCAGGATCTGATTCTGAGATGCTTCCGAGTTCAAGACAAGTAACATCTGCAGGCTTGAACCTCTTCTCCTGTGCTTTCTTCGTAATGGCTGCCGCAGAAGTGTGATCAGTAGCCTCCTTCAGCATGGCATCCAGTTCCTCACAGAGCAAGGTATGAGCAGACACACTGTCTGGCTCGAGACGACCCAGTCTGTCAGTAGCTACCAGTGTTATTGAACTGCAAATACTCTTGATCCTTTGTCGATCGTTGGATTTCAAGACGTTGAGATCATCATCGAAACTCCGCTCACTGCATTGATCTGCTCGATGAGATTTCGAAGATTTTCTTCAAGCTCTTTGGCCTTGATGCTGTAGGTTTGATTGACATCATCCAGTAGTTTCTGCACGGCAATGTATACTTCATTTCGTTGTACCTCCACATTCTGAATGTTCTTCTCCAGTTCTGATTTTTTACTTGCACAACGCTGGACAAGGTCGTTCACCTAAACCAAAACGAATAATAGAAAAGTGACAAGAACATATTTTTAGAATTAGATGTATGCCAATTACATGGAGCTTGTTTAAAAATCAAACACCGGCATTTGCGCGCGTCGAGTGTTTCACAAAAGTAAGAAACACGACCCCCACCCCCTCCCCGGCACCCCCGTACACATAATCATAAGGACCGCGAACTTTAATACATTGGCTTTTTTTGTTTTCTTAGAAGGGAATACAACCCTTTTGATAAATTCATTTCTATGAAAGCAGAAATATAAGAAAATCAGAATGGACATATAGGCCAAATAGTAATAGTATATTGATAATATCTTAATAACGATATTCGTTATGAAAATAATGATTAGAATATTAGTTCAAACAATAAAAAGTATAATAATAATAAGAATAATGATACTACTACTTTTAAAACCAATTATTGTCAGGCTTAATTAGCCAAACGCGAGTTTTTTTGCTAAATGTCAAATGAAACCACATTTACCTTTAGCCGTAACTCTAATTGCTCGAATTCACAGCAGAAATATAAAATAAACAGAATGGAGATAGACCAAATAGAAATAGTTATCATTATGATAATCATAAAAATAATATTCATGATGAAAATAATGATTAAAATATTAGTTTTAACAATAAAAAGTAATATAATAATAACAAGAAGAATAATACATGATGATGATACTACTACTTTTAAGACCAATTATTGTCAGGCCTTATTAGCCAAACGCGAGTTTAAAAAAAAAAAAAAAATCCGAAAGCCACACTTACCTTTAGCCGTAACTCTTGCTCGAAGTCAGCCTGATTCTTGATGTTGTGATTTTGATGACCGACTATCACGTACTTGTGACTGACGTGGACCTTAGAATCCTCACAAAACATATTTTTGTTCTCTTGTTTGTGGATGCAGCACTTCTCATAAAGATGACCAATGCTGACCTTCCTCTTGATGATATCCTCCATGGATACAATCTCATGACCTTCAAAGACGACTTTGAGATGTTGATGACAATCCAGACACTTATCACACATATAATTATTACATGTTCTGCAGAATGAGACAGCATCTTGATGGAACTTGCAAGCAGTGCATTTTGGACGCACCTCCAGGGCAGCATTCACCCCTCCACACTTGGCGTGGTAATTGTCTACGAGTCCGTTGACAGTCACATTGGTGAGAAAATTATCGACACGGTTCGCAGACAACTTGGTGACCTCCCTGCAGAGAGGACATATCATGTGATCAAGTTCCTGATGGGACAGGTCATAGTTCTTGAGACATTTCCGACAGAATGTGTGTCCGCATGAAGTCAGGATGGTTGCCTCGTCGAAGATACCAAGACATAGTGGACAGGTTAGGTTATGTGAAAAGCTTGGAGCTTTCTTTTCCTCAATTTTTTCAGCCATTGGTACAAATATCGAATTTCTGGCTAGTTACAAACACGAGCTCGTTCTACCCCTATATCCAATAATTGATGTCCGATAAAACTTTAAAATGTGATCAGCCAATGTGTACTAGAAGTTATTAGCCTACAGTGAGTTCATGCAAGCTCAAACTATAAGCTGTGACGTAGTAGATATATACCAATATCCTGAGTCTATATGTCCAAACTGCATGCAGATCTGTAGCAATATTTCTCACGTTGATTACAAATATGTGTCGAAAGAGGTGCACCTAACTTTGATCAAAAGTCTTAATCCTCTCTTGAAATGTGTACCTGAATACAAATAAGGTTACAGTAAAATCACATGACTTGAGTAGATCTTCTATATATGAATATAATGCAGTTTGTGCATCCTATAGTATAATTAGAAGTGGGTGTTTCCACAGAGAGCGCGCGCAGCGTATAAGCACCACTGACCTCTACACCTAAGCACCTTTGAACTTATTGGCAGTATTCATCATTTTTATCTATTGAGGGCGACTTATAATTTATGATCTGCACGTAGGCTGCAGCGTTGTGTGAACGCGCAAGTCATTATCATCATCACGATCCTCATCGTATCCATGCATTCATTCCTTCATTCCTTCGTTCACTCATTTTGTTCATCATTCATTTATTTATTCATTCATTCGTGCGTTCGTTCCTTCGTTTGTTGATCGTTGAATTATTCATTCATTATACAGTTATTGACTGGCAGGGGGTGTAATATAACATTATTTGGACCGCTGAAGGGAGTTATATTTCCCAAGTGGTTATATTTTCCCGAAGCGCGCAGCGCTGAGGGAAATGGTCACGAGGGAAAATATAACTCCCTTCAGGTCCAAAGAATGTTATATACCCCCTGCCAGTCAATAACTGTTATATTAGATAGCCTTGGTTTTTTTTTGGGGGGGGGGGGTCCATATTTTTTTCAATAATTTGTCGAGATTACCTTAAAAAAAAAAAAAAAAAAAAAAAAAAAAAAAATTTGGGGTAAAAAAAAATAATAATAAAATAAATTCTTACCCAAAAAAAAAGCATTTTTCGGGAAACCTAATTGTCTGAATTCATTCCCCCCCCGAGCGGAAGCTTTGACGTTTTATTGAATAAGAAGACAATTCGTTGTTCCGTTTTCGCATCCTAATCCTTGTCTGAATTCAGTCCCCCCCCCCTTCCCGCGCGAAAGCGTTTCATTAAATTATCAGAGAAAGAAGACGATTCGTTGTACCGTTCTCGTCTCTTAATCCTTGTCTGAATTCAGTTCCCCCCCCCCCCCCCCCCTTGCGCGAGCAAGAATACCGACACAGCTGACCCGACACAGCAACATATCTATGTGTATCTTTCTTGCTCCCTCGACGAGACGACTCCACCCAACAACCCCCACTCTCTTTTACTCCCACCCCTCTCCTCCATCCAAGTTTCTTCTGTTTCCTTTCTCTCTTGTTTCTTCTTTAAACAATTTTTTTCCTCCTCTTTTTTCCTTTTCTTTCTTTACCTTTCTTTCCTCTTTTTATTTTATTTCTTTCTTCTCTTCTCTTTCCTTTCCTTTCCTTTCCTTTCTTTCCCTTTCTTTCCATTTCTTTCCTTTCTTTTCCTTTCTTTCCTTTCTTTTCCTTTCTTTTCTTTCTTTTCCTTTCTTTTCTTTTTTCTTTTTCTTTTTTCCTTTTCTTTCCCTTTCATTTCTCCCTACCCCATTTTTCCTGACGGAAACGCAATTTTACAGATAATATCCTGACATGTGGAGGGGTGGTGTCGCACAGCGCCCCCCCCCTTAACGCCCCTCCTTGGACCCTACGCCAATTAGTGTCCTGACAGTGTTAAGGTAACAAAATATGCTCATCTGACCGTAATTAAATGCCTAAAACCTCTGAGCTTTCGGGGGCTCCGCCCTCTCGACCCCACCAGAGGCCCGCTGCCCCCCCCCCGATTCCGCCACTGGAATTCTAATGAGAGGGCAAATTGACATATCACGTGCACATGCAGGCATAAACACTTTGTTCTGCGACAAAATTATGACACAAAAGTTATTATTTAAAATTATGACACAAAAGTTATTATTTAATTTAATTAATTTAATTTAATATTTTATATGGAATATCTAATTGTAGCCTTTAATAACTACATGTAGTAAAGACCAATAATATTATTTGATGTTAGCGCTCTGAGCCTTATGGGAATGGCGCCCTAAATGTTTATTGTATTGTATTGTATATCAGTTTTTCCTCAATTTTTCTTTTATTGTATGTCGACCACTCTTCTTTCTGGATAATGCAATCACAGGTTCGCTACTATTCCTAGCCAAGTTCCTTAAAAAAAGAAAAAAAACGTTTTAACGTTTTGTTACAGCGCCATCTCGTGTCAAAAACCGTTGTAAATTTTTTATTTCGAGATTGCCAAAGAGGCAAAATGGCGTTAGCATGGCAGCCAAATACTGATGGTTTGGAGCAAATTTTACAGCTTTTGAAGGAGTCCCAGAGTCCTGATACAGAAATACAGAGAGCAGTTCAACAAGTATCCTTTAAAATGCATGAATTATATATTACGAGATCAAAACTTCGCAACCGTTGTATTTTTCTTATGAGTTTTGTGAGCCGGTCATTCATTCATTTCCAGTTCTTGTCGGTCTATTTACACGTGCGTCATACCTTCGCGCGTGTATTATGTGTGCATGTGAATGAGCATGGATTGCAATGAATTGAGAAAGATGGATAACTGTTCATGACGTGAGCGTATTGTGCATTGTTGTTGCTTATCAGATTATAGTTTCAAATGTTGGATAGCATGCTTTAATACTTGAACATCAAAATCTTATTTATTCAGTATTTAGATTTCAATTTAATTCTAAACTTCTAGCAAGTTCGTTAGTCGGGCCGGGCCGGATAGTCTCATTTCATGTTCAATATATTCATTCATGTCTCATGATGTTCAATTCAACTTCAAAGTTCAATGCATGTCCATCATCAGTAGACTGAAGTAGCACACTGCCGATTTTGGAAACTCTCTCCCATTCGAGATCGAGAGACTGTATTCCATACAACTTGATTACATAGATCTAGACTATTGGTAGGGTGTCTGATCGCGCACCCGATGTTGTGTGCTAAAATTCTTCCCATAGAGATTACACGCATCCCTATGCAGCCTACGTGCATTGCGCGACCATGCAAAAAAAGTCAATTTTTTTTTTTCAAATCGAGATTCAAACCTTTATCAGTTGTGATCCTGAAGGTGATAATCAATGAATGAGGTGTCATATGAAAGAGCAGGTGAATTCCAATATTTCCAAAGGGGCGTAGCCCCCGAAATTCTAAAAATATCTTGGTCAAAACAGCAATTTAAACATTGTGTCCTGGCTAACTCTGAGGTTTGTCACTTTTGAGATATGACGCCCCGATCGATAAGTAGTCCCAGTCCTAAGGAACAATTCTATGTGATTATATTTTCGCTAGCCCCCAGGGATCACAACTGATAACAGTTTAAAAATACCCTTCTCGCTATTTGGTGGATCAGCTAATTAGGAGGCGTGCGCTCCGCTCAGTCCAAACCATGGTTACATCGCGTAACATCTCCGCGCACGAACGAAACCCCAAATTCAATTACACATTATAGTGACTGAAATTATGGTTGGCAATTCCCTCGATAAACCCGGAAGTGAATACACGTTATAGTCAATGGCAATATCGCGGAGACAACGTGCGTTGTCTCCGCGATATTGCCATTGACTATAACGTGCATTCACTTCCGGGTTTATTGTGCGACGAACGCCAACCATACTAGTCAATCGCACATGTCGCGGAGACAGCGTAGCTCAAGCTGCAAGTCGCGGATTGGCTTAGCAGCATGCGTACGATATGCATACGCTTGCATATCGCGCGATACAGCTGTTTGGCTAAATTTAGCAAAACAACATCACTCTGCGTGGACGTCTTTTTCGTCGATTTTGACCAAAATGATATGAATATACCAGCGTGTTGGAGGGGCTGTAACTTTTGATAGAAACATCGGTGAGACTTGAAATTTGAAATGTATTATTCTGATAACATTTTTTATTCAAATATCAAACAAAAATGGTGAAAAACGATCCCAAATTGAAAATTGAAAAATCGTTCAGACACCCTACTATTGGAGATTGACTATTTAGACTAGCTTTCATTTGTTTCAAAAGAAACATGAACACTAGGTCCGAGAATAAGGATCGACTTCATTAACGTGGACCGATGCAAAGTTAAACATAAGGATCGTCTGCATTTTCGCAGACGTTTCTTTTTTTTTGATTGATGCATTGTCATTGCGAAAAATTAATTCTGGGATGATTTTCTTGATTCAATTTACATTGACTTTGTGCAGAGACTTTCACATTATAAGCGATAAATTCTTGGGGAAAGACAGACAACCCATCAAAGTAGACAGTGAACTGGTGATATCTTATTACTTATGTACAACAGCGTGTGTACAATCTTGCCGCACGTAGCGCCCACTGCTGGCGTGTGTGTGCCTAGTATTACGTCTACGTAATACTAGGCGCCTAGCTGGCATACAGTAATAGGATCGTTTCGCTGCTATTTGTTCCGTGTGTTGTGTCACAATCTCTATTGGTCCAGCGAAACAAAATGGCAGCGCCCGGTCTCCTAAGAATCTGACGAATATCGCTAAATATTCGGAATTATTAACCATGATTTGAGGCCCAATATTTTTTCACTGCATAACGAGTCACAAAAATAGTGTAAGTTTTACGATTTTCTTCTTGAAAAATGAAAAGTTTTGAGGTAAAAGGGGTTTTCCACGATGATCCGTTCGAAATTGCATTTTCCGTTTCAAATGGTCAATTCCTTGAATTCGTCCGTTTTCTGTGATTGCGGAAAATCAGTGTCCCTACATCAGCGCCCAGAAATGAAGCACATGCGCACGATGTCAATAACGAGGGAGCGATGACATCATGTGCAATGTCAAGGGACATCAGAAGAACCGATGCGTATGCGGATGCACACTGAAGACGACGGAGGAGGAGTTTAACAATCGCGCTCAATAAGCGCCGCAGCTAAGCAACAGGCGTACACTGTGCATATAGCGCTACGCAGATTGCTGTTCGAGCTGCTCAGCTGTTGAGCACAATTTGCAACTCTGCGTGTAACATCTTTTTCGTCCATTCTGACCAAAATGCTATGAATATTTACTAGATTTGTGGGGGCTGTATCTTTTTATAGAAACATTGGTGAGTCTTGAAATTTGGAATTTGTAGTTCTGAGTAAATGATTTTTCTAAATATCCAACCATAATGGTGACAAATGATCCAAAAGGGAAAATTGAAAAATCGTTCAGACACCCTACTTTTAGGTAATGAGGATTAATGCCTTACCAAAAGGCACTAGCGCATCGACTTGGTTTTGAACCCGGGTCAGTGGATTTTGAGACCACTGCTCTACCAACTGAGCTATCAAGGCAAAGTAATTTTTCATGATGAAATCTGCTCATTTTTTAAAAACTTTTGAGCTTTAGTTTGGTACATGTATACCCTAAGGCTGCGACGGGTAGTCGAATGCTCGAGTACCCGCACTGTTGACAACTACTCGGGTACGATTTCTTGTACCCGAATATTCGGCCGCAAAAAAAAAAAAAAAATGTCCAGGCCCACGCTTACCCGTGCCAGGGAGAGCGGCGTCCGCTGGCATGGTACCGTCGGTAAAAATGTTTCCCAACTCAAGCACTGTCAAACTCACCTTTCAGAAACTGAGACCAAATGTCCAGATTTCTGTTTGGACTTGGAGGAAAATGGATTATTCTGCCATCTTTGGTTTTTAAAACAGCATTGTTTACTGTTATTATTCTTATTAAATCGGCGCCTTCAACTGCAACTCAAAGTAAAGTTGCATGCGTTTTAAGCGAGGGACCTGAGAAACTGCCGAGTGGTATGGTAGTGGCAAAAAAAGAAAAAAAATTCCAAAAATCCAAAAATTAAAAAAAAATCAAAAAAATTCAAAAAAAATCAAAAAAATTCAAAAAAATTCAAAATTTTTAAAAAAAATTATAAAAAAACATGGCGTCCGAATATTCGAGTATTTGCCTGTGAGTCTGGGAGTGTACTCGGGTACCTCATTACACTGTTGTGCACAGCCCTAGCCTTTGCAGCAAAATATAAATGAAGTCATTATGGTATCCTGCATTGATCTACCTTTAGGTCTAGGAGATTTTCTCCCCAATAGGAAAAAGTCTCTCGTATTGACCTCCTTCTCCTTAATTTCCCCCAGGTGTGGAGTACTGCATAGTTGTATTCTCAGGCCTGATCCGATTTAAATTGGTTTCCCGATTTTTTAATATTTTTTCCCGATTTTTTTTTTCTTCACCGGTTTTATCCTGATTTTCCCCTCTTTTACTATATTCTTCCCTATTTTTCTTACTCAAAAGGAGGGAATGTTGTTCGATGCCATTTTTTCAAACTTGGCCTTCTTAATTATTATTAAGTATTTGGTGCCACCTGTGCCTGGGAGGCGAAAAGCGAATTAAATCACTGTAACCCTCTGGGCTCTCCTCTGGGTATAACTGATTGGGGTGGGTGTGCAGGTGGGTGTGCAGGTAGATCACTGCACAGGGATCACTACACAGGGATCACTGCACAGGGGTTTCCCCTACTCTTATACAAATAGTGCAGTGGGTTATTAATGTGCAAAGGTGGTGACTCTCCTCTTCACAGGGCCTCTATTCAACGTCCTATCCAAGGGACGCAGTGTTTTCCACTTGATAATATGGCCTGCGTCCATGAAACAACGCAGGCTTTAGTCATCCGTCTGGGTGGGATTCGAACCCACGATCTTTGGTTCGCCAGGCAGATACTTTACCGACTGAGCCAACTCGCTTCCTTTGGTTTGTCTTTTTGAATAATAGTGAAACCCAGCAAAGATAAGCATGACACACCTTGATTTGGGTGGGGCTCCTATGGCTGTGTGGTGATTCCTTTGAGGAATCATGAAAGACAATATACAGTGTAATTGTAGGGTGCATTATTACACTGTACATGTACCTACCTATGCACCTGATCTTTTCTTATTCACCAAGCAGTTGACTTGCCCTAATAAATATAGGTTTGGTTGAATTAAAAATCAAACAAAAATACAACAATAAAATAATAGCAAACAAACCAATACACAACAATATTTTCAATATCAATGCATGTTTTATTTAGAAAAATCAATCAAGTTGACACTAATGAGGTGAAATTCATATGTGTATGAAAAACAAATCAGTAATATATTAATTATTTCATCTTTTAATTCCATGTACTTACAGAGTTGACCTGCCTGAAACAATATCTTCACATGTTTTGGAGGGGCAAATAGCTTTAGATCAGTGATGTCATGTGAATAAGCTTTTAAAAAAACATGTATGTTCGTCTAACCAGTGATATGAAAGAGTGTTCTGTAAACTCTTCTTTGCCTCTATTCTGTAGAAACAATGCAATAATCTTTGTCCTTAACCCCTCTACTCTCAAGAAATTGGAATCTTTGAACCAGTATCCTGATTTCAACAACTATCTCATCTTTGTGTTGACCAAGCTCAAGAAAGAAGGTGAGTTTTATAAGTAAAATGTTTTTGCTTGTTTTTTTTTTTAATCTTCGTTTTTCTTTCATGTTTTTTTCTCTTTAATGTTGATATGCCTCACAGTTTTGTTTTTTGTTTTGTTCTGTTTTTGGATTTCATTTCCCTTTCTCTGTCGTTATTTTCAAACCATTTACCCTAACTGCCTTTTATCATGTAGCTACTTAGCTTCACATCTAAGAACTTGAATTCATGTTGAGAATGCTGGAGTCCGATGAAAGAAAACATTAAGGAAAGGAGTCAACCCGACGCCAAGCATGGAAATGAAAATCATTTTAGGGCAATAAACCAATTTTAGTACTTTATTACCATATTCATCTTTTAGTATTGCCTGTCATTTTTTAATTTTTTTTTATACCTGTGTATAAGACGCAGCCTCCGACTTTAGATTTTTTCGGCGGGGAAAAAGTGCGTCTTATACACTGAGATTTACGAAATATTCAAATTTTCATAATCATCTTCTTTTGTTCGTCAGGTAATTTTTGTTACTCTAAAAATAAATGATTAAAAACAAAAAATCATTTTGGATACATGTCCAAGATTTTTTTTGTTAGGATAGTGAAGTTTTTAAATGAAAGCTTGCCAGTTTGATGAAGACAATCTTTCATTCAAAATGTTGGTCACTGATGAGCTGGATGGAAAATGTGACAAGAATGTACCTACATGTACCTTCCTCTTCACCAAGCGAAACAATGTAAGAGGGTCTTTTCCTGACAGGACGCACAATCGCACATATTCATGAGCTACCGTGATCATGAGGCCAAGCGAAGCTGAAACATTGCCCTTTCAGCGCCGGCACTTCTGGGATGGGAATGGGATGGGATGGTTGGATTAATGTACCTTTGCTTTGCGTTGGGTATGGGTGGGAGTGTATATGTGTGACACACAGTGAATGCATAATGAGGGAGAGACAGGTGGAATAACAGACCAATCAACCTGATGCATGCACACATGAATGCTTCATGAAGGCTCTCTCTACAGCTCACACAGTTTTACACAAAACACATTGGAAGATAAAAAAGTTCTAGTGATCATGAGATTACATTGGGAAAGAAACCATCAAGAAAACAACTGGGAGAGGTTGATTATGTTGTACGTAAGAATTGATTTGCATTATGAAATGGTGCAATCGTCAAAGTGAAAAGGTTGCATGTACTGCACACGAAAATGGGTATATGGGACTTATACACACAATGTTTGATCCAAACTGTATTTATTGTCATATTGAGGGCATTTGAAGAGCAATCCTTTCGGTTTCCAGGAACATTTCTACTTCGATATCCTTCCAAACCGACATACAAAGAATGAGAAAGCTCACAATTTTTTCTTCATCTTGACCAGAATCCAGCTTTCTGAAATATTAGTCATAGTGAAAATTATCTGAGATATGGCTCAAATAGCACATGAGAGCATGTACATGTAAAAGCACTAGAGCCCTTAAAGGTAAAGAGCAGTATTGGAAACGCCCCAATTTCAAAAAATGAAATGGAAGCTCTCATTACCAATCATGTGAAAGAATATGTTTTGACTAATACATGATGATAAAAAATTGCCGGGAAACCGCCTACTAATTCATATATTTGGTAAATTTGTTTCTCTCATGGTCTGTGAGAGATATAGGGTAGTCCCATATACATCTTTCTGTGTATAGTGTTTGTAACTTTATGAAGAATGGGCCAAATTTCTTATCATTTTGATGATTCCAGAACCTTGCAGATGCTAGATACTAGATCAACCTTTTCTGATCGATTCCACAACGTTTCTTTCACAATGCAATCGCATGACCATAACTGGTCTTTACCTTTAAAATCATACCAACTAGCAAAATTGTATAAAGAAAGGCAGTATAAAGAAATGAACTTTGAAGAGGTCATTTGGCATGACATCTGGCCAATCATCAGTGCATGCTCACGCTAAGCCCCTCCCAGTTAAATCATTTCTGGGCGATATGGCATTTTAGACAAGAGCAGGAAGCCATTTCTTTTTTAAGCATCCAAATGGCGTTTTGTTAGACAACGTTTCATTAAAGAACGTTCCTTTATACAACATTCAGACAACAGGGAAAGTTCAATATCTATCGTTGAACTAGATACGATTCTTAAAAAGCTGTGCAATGAATTCTGGTTGTTTGAACGCATATTCATATTATCAAGTCCTCCTCATTACACACCCAAGGTCATTCATAAGAGTTCATGGATTTTTCCATAGTGCTTCTAAGTTCTAACGCACAAAACTGACATCATGCCAGAACGTTCTGTCATCTCTGAGCAATATTTGGCATGCAGAGGTCATCCTGCTATCCTCATTACCCATGATGCTCTGTCTTAAACTTGAGGTCAATGAACTGTGTTGTGGCACTGCACAGCAACTGAAACTAAGTAATAGACAGGAAACCGTGATTACCTGGGATTGTATGCAAAGCCTGCCCATTCTATAGGCACAAGGTACTGTAGTTTTCGTAATTATTAACTAGAATATAAATTGATCTACCATAAATCTGCCAGCTACATGTAGGTAGCAAATAGCATTCAATGTATGTACAGGAAAAACAAACTTGTGTGTTTTTCTGTTAAATTCCTCCATATTTTTTACCTCATTTTGTGCATTTTAGCTGTTTTAGCAAGTTTTCAGGTTCAATTTGGTGTTGAATTCTCAATAGATACTACAACAACAAAAAAGAAGTCAAGAGTAGTAATTCCACAAATAATTCAATACATGAACCCAATAGTTCTAAATATTTTTGATGATTGATATTGTGACAGTATAGTGTGACAGGCTAAACCTAAATCATCCCCTGTAATTTTCCTGTCGGTTTGTTTGTGCAATGTGCTCTAATACTTAAGTCACACCACCAAACCGACTCTACGTTGGCTCCAAATCTACCTATTCTTGGCTAATAAACAGACTAATTCTTGGCTATCCGTGGTAATGAAATAATTAATTCTGTCTGTTGTCAGTCTGATGTCAGCATAGCTGATGTGTAACTGAGGTATAACGCATTGTATAGATGAGCAGATTATGTTTATTCATTTGTACACGTTTATTGATGGACTCAGGTACTAGCCAAGGTCAAATCTCATTACATAAACTCAATGCAATGGGTAATGAAGAGCTAGTCTTATCTTCCAGACTCTATAGAGTACAGAACTGCTCACGTAATACACGCTCCTCATGCTGATTACTGGTTCAAAACAACAGCCTGCTCATGAGGTTCACCGTGAAACCATTGAAGCAACAGACTGGAGCAGGACAACTTCGGTATGTGGCGCTGGTGTGATAGCTATGCTGTTGTTTAGCACAAAAGTGTCTGGAACCAGCAACCTAGAAAATTTTGGCAGTATGACGTCACACATCGGTACTCTTTAAGACTAGGGTTTATCTTTTGTTTCTTGTCTTTTTTTTTTTTTTTGAGGGTCGATTTAAATCTTTTCTGTGCTGTAGATACCAGTTCAGAGTGTGTGTTTACGTCTATACTCCTATGAGTATTCCTACCACATGGTCACCATGGGCACTATGACTAATTCATCCACAAGGACTTTTGTCAGCCTAAATGTACAGAGGCTCTCTTTCATAAAAATTGTTATCAATAACAAATTACAATAAATGTTATATATAAGCTACTAAAATCATGGAATTTGATTGGCCGAGAGCAAATTTGTCATAGAAATTTAACATATGTTTCGAAAGCAAGTTTTTATGAAACGGCCCAGATCCCATTTCTTCCCTGGGTGCAGAGAGACACTCATAGATTCGTCCTTGCCAAAAAAAGGACATTAGTGCTTGAAATGATAATGTTAGTTTGTATGACACTTGCATCACTGACAATTGCTCCACTGTTATTTACTACACTAGCCGTGTCCCTAACTTCAACACTGATCCCAACTCAAGTATAATGTTAGGGTTGTGCACCCTCACACTAGAGCTAACCCAACCTAACATAAAACATACATGTATTGCAAAAAGAACCTGTTTGCAACCCTAACAGAAACTCTTCTTTTGATTGAATTAAAGCCCTGAGCGATTGTCGCTGCTGTAGCATTTTTCAAATTACCATGATGTTTGTATCTCACAGGGAAAAAATTAATATTTATTTTTCGGGGGCTACTTTTCAACCTTGCCTGCATGAAAATAATATTCTAAAATTTGTTTTGCATTGAACTCTATGCAAATTTACTGGGGCTCTTTTCTGATTTTCGGGGGCTCTTTTAGGCATTTCGGGGGCTAATTCGCCCTGAGCCCCCGTGTATTTTTTTCACTGGTATCTCAGTCCATTGTTCAAACCCTGCAATTCCTCATTTACGTTGTGTTCGCCCAGAGCCTGGATGATAGTCTTTGGATGTTGACTGACATACGTGTAGATCTATACCATCAGAGTTTGGCAGTGCAAGCTCTTGATGGATTTTCTCAGCAAGAATCTCTATCCGCTATTTGGATTGTCATGGGCCGGCCGGGTCAGGAGTGCATCTTCAGGACAGCCGCCAGCTAACGGCATCGATGTGTCAAAGTTACATTTCTATAATTTAGTTATCCAAACAATCTGTAATTATGCCTATCTTAAACATCAGTTAGAAGCTCCTATTTGACCGAGTCCCCAGAAATTGATGCGTTCCACCTGAGAATTTAGCGTTTAGTTCTGAAGCATCATTTCACTGTCAAAGCAGCACACTATGCATGTGCTGTACAGGAACTTGTTCAGCTTGTTTCGGAGTGACTGTGGCAGACATTGTCTTGTCATCTACATTTGTAAATCTCATAGTTTCTTGGTGTGTACAGGATACAAAATGTACATGTATTTCTGTGAACCTACAGAGTACCTCACTCAGAAAATCACACAATTACCAGTCAATCCTGTAGTCTTAGTAGTCTGTATCTGTTTGGTATTACCATGGTCATATTGATATTAGTGTCAAAATGGATTCCGTGCCCACAGTCACAGACTAAAATACATGAAATTATTCGTAACAGATGAA